TTTATAAATTGCAGAGTATAAAAAGTGGAGTTTTGAGAGTTCTATTCCCAGGCATGCAGCAGGCCAAGCATTTAGCCTGCCCTTCCCATTGGAAATAATTTTTTAACAAGGCTAAATTTTTTTAAATCCTAAACTTTTAAAAAGCATTCAAGCATGGACTTGAAAGTGAGGAGTTATCAGTTCAACAAGAAGTAGGAACCAAGAGAGGTAAAGGGACAACCTTGTCCAAGAGGGGGTGTATAAAACCAGGAGGCACCATTTACAGTCTATTTAGCTAAATGACACCCTTGCAGTTGCTCAGTCCTATGGCCTTGAGGTCATTTTGTTCAAATTGGTAAAGTTTGGCTTTGGCTTCACTGGGGGGGGGGGGGGGGGGGGGGGTGAGAGGTGCAATGGGAGAAAAAGCCTAAGACTTGAAGAATCCTATAGGAGACCTTCCTGCCACTAAGTTTGGACCCTTTAGGTAGGTATAAAAACTCACATACCCACTCACCCTCAGACTACTGCAGGGAAAGTTCCTGTGGTGCTAAGCAGAATTGAGGGCCAAAAAATTCTGTCCCTGGATGAATGTCAACTTATCATAATCTAGAGCCCAAACAGACCCCCTAAATAAAGCCTCAAGCCATTACTTCAAATTAAATAGGCCCCAGGTATACAGAACACAAGCAAATCTTTTCTAGAGGAATATACTGCAATATCCACAAGTTATTTTCCAAGGAAAATGAGCAGCTCCCAGGAATAAAGCCTAAGCACCCCCCAAAACAAGTTACTATGGGTGAGAATCAGTAGAAACAATATCCAACAGAAACAAAAGAAAACTGTCACAAAGACTTCAGATATTTAAATTATCAGACACAGTGAAATAACTATATTTAATTTTTAAAAAATACAAACACCTATTCAAAACAAGAAACCATAGAAAATAGCTTAGTGGATTAAAATTTTAGAACTTCAGAAATGAAAAGCACAGAAACTGAATTCAAAACACAGTGGGAAAAAAGACTTGCATAAACAGTATACTTCACCAAAGAAGAGGTATGGATGGCAAATACACAATAAAGAGTTGTTTAACATCATCAGCCATTAAGGAAATATATATTAAAACCATAAAGAGATACTACCATATACCTGTTAGAATGGCTGAAATAAAACAATCTGACAATACCAAGAGCTGACAAGAATATGGAGCAACTGAATTCTCTCTACTTTCTCATGCATTGCTGGTAACCAATGCACAATGGCACAATGGTACACAAATTCGAGAAAAGAGTGTGGCAGTTTTTATAAAGTTAAACAGAATTGCCACAGATAGAACAATCTCACTCCTAGGCATTTATCAGAGTGAAGTTAAAACTTATGTTCACTCAGCCCTGGCTGGTATAGCTCAGTGGATTGAGCAGGGGCCTGTGAACCAAAAAGATCGCAGTTCAATTCCCTGTCAGGACACATGCCTGGGTTGTAGGCCAGTTCCCAGCAGGGGATGGACCAGAAGCAACCATATATTGATATTTCTCTCCTCTGCTTCCCTACCCTTCTAAAGATAAGTAAATAAACAAAAAAATTAAATAAATAAAAGTGAATAAATAAAATCTTAAAAAAAACTTATGTTCACTCAAAAGCCTGAATACAAATGTTTATAGTAGCTTTATTTGTAATAACCCAAAGTTGGAAACAGCCCATATTTCCATTGACTGGGAAATGGATAAACTATAGTACATCCATAAAATGGAATACTATTCAGAAATAAAGAAGGAATAAACTCTTGATACATACAAGAATATGAATGAATCTCAATAGCATTTTGCTTAGTGAAAGAAGCCAAATTCAAAAGACTACATATTGCATGATTACATTTATGTGACATTCTAGAAAAGGCAGAACTTTAGGAACAGATAACAGATTGGTGGTTGCCTAGGGTTAAAAGTGGGATGATGGTTCGATCACAAAAGGATACCACAGGGACACTCCAGAGATTGTGTTCCGTATCTTGATTGTAATGGTAGTTTTACCACCCTATATATTTGCCAAAACTTGTTTTACTGTATGTTAAAAACTTTAAAAAAAAAAAGATTGTCAGATTGGGTAAAAAATATAGGGTCTGACAGTTTCTGTTGGTCAAGGTCAAACTTTGCTCAAGACAAAATTCAATTCTCATTCTGAAAACTCCTATGAGATTATGTACCAAACCTCATTAAAAAGTGAACAGTATTTCTATTTTTAGATTGCTAACATCTAGCAGGAAATAAAAACCAATACACATCAGAGTTAAATATACTTTAATATACCATAGTTTTTGTATCTTAATACAACTGTGAAACTTGGAAACTAAAAATCAAAGAAATTTTTTTGCCATTATGTTATTGATTTCAGTTACTGTGTTTTTCATTTCTAGAAGTTCCAATTTTTTAAATCTACTTGATTACTGTCTATGGTTCTTTGTTTTGAATAAATGTTTTGCATTTCGTGTTTTATTTGTTTTCAAAAATATCATTTGAAACAGCAAGATGAATCCTTGACTTTTCACTTTTCATCCAGCTGTTTTGCCGTCAGAGAACTAATTTTAGAAGGAGTAATCTTCTTATAAAATACGGTGTAATTAAAAAAAGTAGGTTTGGGTGGTTTTGTTTTGGATTGTTTTTTTTTTTTTGAGACTTCTAATTCCGAGTTGTACAGGGTTCTTGGCTTTCTGAACCAAGCCAGCAGCCTGAGAATAACCTGAACCATAAATCTAAGGCTAAACCACAAAACTGTTGGCTAAAAAATCATTGTTAGTTTCTACAAGAGTTGAATTCCAGCTCCTTTATATTAATGGATTTTAAAATTAAAATTAAGTTGCAAATGAAGTTTCTTCTCAACCTGTATACAAATAATATGGAAATCATAGTGTGTGATGGATTACCCCTCCCTGAAAGCTGAATGATTACATTTGCTTTGTAATGCATGTGAGAGACATGTGTTTGCCTATGTCACTGAAGACTAAATGGCTGCTTTTCTTGCTTTCTTTTTCTCCCATCCAAGTACTAACCAGGCCCGACCCTGCTTAGCTTCCGAGATCAGATGAGATGGGGCACGTTCAGGCTGGTATGGCCATAGACTCTTGCTTTCTTTTTCTGACAGGAACTGTCAGCAACATGAAACACATTGCCACATTTTTTTTGAGCAATAGCTTTTTTTTTAATGTAGAGAGTCAAATTCAACAAGTCTTGCCCAAACCAAACACTTTTGTCCACAAAATCCAGACTAGTTTTCTCCCCATTTCTCAAAAAAGCTATAACTGAGTGCACACTGAAATCTCAAGTTTTCAGTGTACCAGGTAGACATGGCCACAAATGCAAGAGATTCTTCACTTTTCAGGTCAAAATTAGGCCATTTTTTTCATCCTGTTACAATGGTGAACAATGACTTTTCACTGATTAATTATGAAACAAAATAGACTGAGAGAAGACAAGTTCATGTAACTCCTCACAGGTCCAAGTGCTGTATGAGGAATGATTTGTGTTGATAACAGCTTATTCAGTAATGAGTTTCCAGAAAGCTACTTGGTTTTTTTTTTTTTACTTAATTTGTAGAATAATTCAATCAACCCCAAAGTCATCTAAAGCAGAAACCCCCAACCTCTTTGGCACCAGGAACAGGAGGTGGAGCTCAGGTGGTATTGAGCTGGCCTGTCACTCACCTCCTGCTGTGTGGTCAGGTTCCTGACAGGCCAAGTACTGCTTGGTGGCTGAGGGGGGAAGGGGTTGGGGACCCCTGATCCAAAGTCATTATCCTAATCAGTCAAGAATCCAAGAAACTTCTATTGAAAAAAAAAAAGAACCAAAGAAAATTGGCATCCTATATTGTCCCAGAGCCATGCTTTTCCCAAGGCTTTTGTACTACCTAATTATCATAAAATAATGCTCCAACTAACACAATAAGACTGTTAGACAGATCATGAGACCACTGACTCGCTGAACATAGCTTTGTGTGGTTAGGAAACCATATTACTGAACTGTTAGCCACTGGCTTGTGACATTTATAAGAAGGCTAACAATTTACCCACAAATACGGAAAAAACAATTGTAAACCTTTCTTCAAGTTTCCACATTAAAAATGATCTTATGCATGTAGGAATGGAGGAAAATGTGGAAAAGTCACTCTCATTAGACTGGCTTTGAGGCGACACACCGTGTTTATAAAATGTTTCGAGATGGTTAGATAAGCAGTTCTAATGACAGCACATTGCGCCGTTATCATGCGCCATGTGTAGCCTAAGGAGAGTTTTCGGTCTATCAGAGAGGCCCACGTGTTGCTATTTGTCACTTCAATTTCACATGAGAAACAAAATTAAAAAAAAAAACCAACTTTAAAACCCAGACAAGTCATTTGTGGCCAGAGTAATGAGACCTCTTGCAAAAAAGGAGAGAAAGAGAGAGATTGATTTCGGGGGGAGGATATTAACACATTTGATACATTTTTGAGAAACAGGCTTTGGTTTTAGAGCCTTATTACAGCTGTTTAATTCACTTGCTCTTGCAGCTCAAGTATATAGACATTTTCAGTAAAGTTTTAAAGGGTTTCTACACCTTCAGTGATTTTACCATTTTTAAGAGAAATGAGAAACACTGTCGTAGTGACCATATAGTGGCACTTATTTTCAGAAGCTGCATTTTAAGTTACTAACACAGCATGTGCAGGTATAGGGCTGTGTCTTAGTTACAGTTCTACACTGAATATTACAGCGACTGAGAACCCTTTGATACAGCAGGGTACAGGCTCACTTAAAAAATAATATTCTCCTGAAAAGGCAATAGCTCTCCTTATAAGAAGCAACATGTGAAGTCTAGCAGACATGGTTTCATATATTCCATTTTGATTGCCTAAGTTTTCAGCTGGGTGGCATTCTAGTTCAAGGCCATTCTCTTGCAAAACTTCGTTCTGTGGTTTTAACATAACTCTGTGTCTGTTGTAAACCGGGGAGGACAGGAGAAAAAAAAAAGAGGAAAGTGTGCTCCATACAACTCTTCACTTGAAGGTCTTATAGTAGGCAACTGATTTTCAAACAAAAAATTCGAAGTTCTCTGAGCTTCTTTCTACCCTGAATGAATCCTGATTTTAGTAACGTTTAAGGTGATTGCTGCAGAGACTCTAAAGTTTAGGACAAAACCAGATTAAGGGCATTAATCATCTAAATAAAATAATTGTCATCTAAATAAGGATTATGAAGACCAATGAAGTAACAATAGTTGATCGTCGTTTATCGAGTACTGAAAAGGTATGTAGTCCTATTTAATTCCGCTTTTGAGGTTTCAGGATTTGAGATGGGGTTTAGGCATAAAAATGAGCAACCAAAAATTCATCACATAAAATAATTACCTTGCATTAAGTTTATTTTTGGCTGATGGAGGAAAGGGAATATGTTTGTGGAATTTCTTTTGTAAATGTCTACTTATGTGAATATATATAGACATCTGAATGTTATTGATGATGATAATTAACAATCATTCTATTCAAATATGTACATTATTATAAGCTATATAATTAAGAACTGGGACAACATATATTCACAAAATGAATGATATGCAATGTGATGAAAGATCTGACAAGTCCTTCAAACAATTACAGCCATGATAATAAAATATGCAAAAGGTCAAATGATGAAGATGTAGTTGCAGTTGTACTTAGAATGGAAGGGAGGTAGCTAATTGAAAATTAAAGATTGGGATTTCCCGGCACCCCCCCCCTCGCCCCATATTCCCCAAACGGGTTAGGATCTGCTAATATCTTTGTGCCTGGGGTTTTAATTCTAGTCCTATCTTACACAAAAATTGTCTTTCCTGGTCCCTCTAAAGTTATAGATTTTTTTAAAAGGACCTTAACAAAAATTTCTCAGAGGCATCTACACAGTTCTTGAAAAAATTATCTCCATAACTTCCCATTCTAAGGAATTTAACTAGGCTGGGAAGAAAAATATTGAGTGAGTTTTCTTAGGCCATGGGTATAAAGTTTTCCTAGAACTATAAGTGAATAATCATGATCCAAAGGCACAGTCTTTTCACAAACAAAATATATGTCACAAACATCTTTCCTGTGCCAGTTCCAGAAAGTGACATATCTCACTCTATATGTGCTTATCATCTGGAACAAACCTTAATTCATAGTGTACTCACCCAAATCATAAATCTTTTTCTGGCAATTCAAAGTAGTGACAAGAGAGAATTATTTTGGAAGATATTTTCTTACTAACTCTAGTTAGCAGTGTAGATATGTGTGGTCTAGATCAGTGATTTTCAACTTTTTAAAAAAATCTCAGCACAGATAAACTTATTACTAACATTCTGTGGCATACTGAAAATATTATATATTTTGCCAATCTGACAAAAATAAGTATAATTTTGACTCATTCGCACTGAATAGCTATTGTGTTGGCTGATGTCATTTTTTAATTTGACAATCTAAGGGAAAGGAGGCCAGCGCTCCTGACTAAGTAGTCAGGTTTCGCATGTTTTAAACATTCTTCTGGCACACCAATGGGAAATTGCTGGTCTAGGTGATATTCCAAATCAGCTTCCAGTCTAGTTATTCAGATTGCTTAGTTCTGAGGACTGAGGTGAGCATAAGCAGTTCTTCCTCAAACTTTCATCTGCAGCTATTTCTTATAGACTTTAATCTTCAAGTGTGCTTATTTCCACTTTCCTCTGGTTTTGGAGATTCCTGCATATCATCATTTAGACTCTAGTTCACAGTACTGCTGTTCCTTCCAAACAGATGCATTCTGTTCTCATCTCTAGGTATGAAGATTGTTTTCTATCAATTGCTTTTATACATAGGATTTACTAATATTCTAAAATTTTCTTTCCCTTAAATATATGCATTAGTGGATATATTAATAAGCCTTCTACATTAAATTTTTTTTTACCACTTTCCACATGTTCTGTAGAAAGATAAAATCCAACCTACGTAAGTAAAATAGAGGGTCAACTCGACAGTCCAGCAGAGACTCTCCCAAAACCACAACCACTTCTTACCCTAATTTATAGTTTCATTACTGGCCACACTTTTATTTTGCTTACTTTTTTTAGTTTCTTCCTTAGATCTATCCCTTACATGTGCTTTTGGATAATAACACTAACTACTACTGAATTTCTCTTTCTAACGTAAGTTGGCCAGTTTCTTGTGAACTCTAAGTGCCCTATATGATACAAAAGGCAATGTCCTGAAGACCCATGAATGTAATGGATGGTCTTTTCTTATCCTCTGTCCTTTTAACCATTTACCGCTAGTGTGAAGCTACTATTAAACTACCATGACCATGTCTATGTAGTCAATTATAAACACTCACTTGTTTTGTTTTGTAATGCCTTTTTTTTTTTTTGGCTTCACAGAGTACAACGGTTTTAGAACTCAGAAGCTTAGAGAGCCTTTCCTCATCATTTTTGGCGTAGGAAAGATGATTTAGTAATAAGCCAACCTTTGATACAGTTTCTTGTTTAAAACTTTATGAAAGCTTACTTAAACTACAGTGAGATACCATTATATCATAATAAAACCATATTAATATGGCTTAATACCATATTAAGCCAACTGTAATGGCTTTAAAAAAACCCAAGCCAACAAATAAACTAAAACCTGAAAATACCAAGTGGAGCAACTAAACTCTCCTATTGCTTTACTGGTGGGAGTGCTATGGGGTGTAGCTACCTTCAGGAACAGTTTGACAGTTTCTTATACTCATCACAAGACCAAGCAAGCCCGCTTCCTAGGTATTACCAAAGAAAAATGAAGGCATATGTCTGCACAAGAACCTGTGTACAAATGTTATAGAGGCTTTGTTTATAATGACCAAAAGCTGGAAACATCCCGGATGTCCTTCAACTAGAAAATGAATACACAAATTGCAGTTAGAATACTACTCAGCAATACAAAGGAAGAAGTCATTGATGTACACAACACACACCATGGGCAAATCCCAAATGCACTGTGCTAAGTGAAAAATAAAACTCAGAAGGTTATATAGTGGGGGGGGTCAAAAGTAGGTTTACCTACTTTTAGTTAATACAATGATTCATTAAAAATAAAATAAAAGTAGGTTTTATGGAAAATAATGTAATGATTAATAAATAATAATACATACAAGAACAAACTGTATTTCACATACAACTATAAACCTACTTTTGCCCAATCCTGTATATTGTATGATTCTGTTAGTTTATCATCTAGGAAAAGGCAATATTAAGGGCATAAAAATCCAGTCAGTGTTTGCCAGGGGCTAGGATAGGGAGATTGACTCCAGAGGGGCATGAGGGAACTTTTTTGGGTGATGGAAATGTTTGATATTTTGGTTGTGGTGGTGGTTCATAGCTGTGTACATTTACCAAAATTCAACAAACTGTACACTTTAGAAGAACTTTTACTGTATGTAAATTTTCTCTCAATAAACATGACTTTTACAAAAATTCCACCCAAAATCTTTGTGAATATGTTGAAAAATAATGAAGGCTATCCTTGTCTCTTGTGCCTAGGGATTTGTATTTCCTCATAACCAATTATTGCATAAGTCTTAAAGAAGAATGACCATAGAATTTTATGAACTCTCGAAAGATTACAGTATTGTTTTTATTACATGGAACTTAGTAGTAATGAAAATAGGGGGAGGAAAAAAAAACAACTTACAATAAACCAACCACACAGTTATAACCAGTATGTCTGTTTTTCATGAGCCATTACATTTTAACCAAATTTCTTGTATAAGAGAAAGTGACCTTGTTAACTGTCCTTTCACTAGTTCCTCATATTAAGATAAAGTCAAAAATGCTTTGCTTTGTGTATAGATTTTCTGCAATTAGAGTTCATTGAATAAAATTTAATTAAAAAATACTTTAAACATACAGAAAAGTGAAAAAAGAAACCCATGTCCCCATGCACAATAGGGTAAAAGTAGGTTTACAGTTATGAGTAGGCAAAACGGAGTTTATTCTTGTATTATTATTTATTATTTTATTATTTTCCATGTGAACAGCTGTAACCTACTTTGGCCCCCTCGAGTAAATTTAACAAATGCTGTGTATTGCCTTTTTTTTAGATGCTTCTTGAAGAGCAATCCAGTGCTGCAGCTGGAACCCCAACTTTGTCCTATTTCCCAGGCTCCTTCTCCAGAGGTAATCACTACCCTGAAGTAGATATGCATCCTCGTATTTCAGAGATTTGTTCATGTTGACAGATGTCGGTAGATTTCACTACTTCTAATTATTGTATACCATTCCATTACATGATTATAGATATTTACTTTTTGTCCATTAATACTCCAAGGAACACCCTCATAGTGTCTTCTGGTGCATGTGTGCAAAGGTTTCTCTAATGCAGGAGTTTGCAAACCTTTATGGCCAATATGCATGGTGAGCAGTAATTTTACATTCAGATCCTATACATGCATAAATGCATATATCATCATAGGCTGAGTTACCTGGGAAGCAGATCTGAGACCAAAATTAGTGTGTGGGATGCTTATTGGGGAGTGTACCAGGATCGGCATCTGTGGGGGAGTGAAGAAAGCAGAAATGGGCAGAGGGAGTCTGGGATCTAATGAAGTGACTAGAAAGGCCTCAGGTGATACTGCCTTGGCTGCAGGGATCCCTCAGAGTAATATTGAACTGGAGCAAGCGAGTCAGTCCTTTATACACCTGCATTGATACAGCTGACCCAGGAAGAAGGTCTGACCTTTAGCAAGTACCCTAGCTCTCTTTCTGAAGGGGGAATTAGCTAAAAGCTGTTGGCAGCCAACTCTCCTAGAATCTGGGTGAATTAATGTTTCTGTCCTAGAGAAGAATCTAAGTGGCACTCAAAAGTTCATAAAACAATCCTTACTCCAATATTTCCTGCTTTATTTCATTTGTTAAAAATGTTTGTTGCCCTGTGTTCCAAAGTTCCCATGAAGTAAGCCAGAAATCCTTATTTTTGAAACAAAGAAAGTGAGGATCACAAAGAAAGTGAGGCTTAGCTGGTGGAGCATCGTCCTGTATACCAAGTTTGTGTGTTTGGTTGCTGGTCAGAGCAGATACCTAGACTGAGAGTTGGATCTCCAGTCGGAGTTTGTACCAATAGATATTTCTCTCTCACATCAATGTTTTTCTCTCTCTTTCTCCCTTCCTTTCTCTCTAAAATCAATAAACATCTCCTCAGATGAGGAGTAAAAAATACTTGTTGTAACCCTTATATTGTCTTCATAATCCACTAATAGATCATGAATCACAGTTTCAAAAAAACTGCTTTAGATTATATAGTCAGAAATGGAATTGCTGGATTGTGGGGTAAGTGCATTTTGAATATTACTAAATACTGCCAAACTGCTTTCCAAAAGGGTTGGGTTATTTGTCATTCCCACCAGCAGAGCATAAGAGTCTCATTTATCTACACCCTTGATAACTTTTGGTAATGTCAGGCTTTTTAATGTTTTATCATCTGATAGATGCATTACTGGGCTAATACTGTATAGAATCTGAAACCCATCCTTCGGTGAAAGTGAAACATTCCCAATATTGTGGTAACCCAAGACTTACTCCCTGCTACCTTATCAACCACCAAAAGGCATGTGCATTTCCCTGATAATTAAGCGATGTTCAATTTTCAGTCTTGCAAAATAGAAATCTAGTCTGACAAAATGAACCTTTCAGTCTTGAAACCTCTGCTATAGCACTTAGCACAGTATATAACATATGATAGTATAAAGTATCTGTAGGTTGAAAGAGGGAATGTGCTTTAGGCCCAGGGAATTGGAGAGGTCACCTGTTTTGAATCCTCGAGGTAGTGTGGTTTGGTAGAAGCCTATTGGCCCAGGAATTGTGAGGCCTGGGCTCTGGTCTAGTCCACCCATGTGGTTTGGTAAATTCACTCCACCTTTCTTTTTTTTAATTAAAAATTTTTTTTCAGTTACAGTTTATATTCAACATTATTTTGTAGTAGTTTCAGGTGTACAGCATAGTGGTTAGACAGTTATATACTTCACAAAATGTTCCCCCTGATATTTCTAGTACCCACCTGGCACCATTCATAGTTATTGCAATATTATCGACTATATTTCACTTCACCATTGCGATCCTCACTTTCTTTGTTTCAAAAATAAGGATTTCTGGCTTACTTCATGGGAACTTTGGAACACAGAGATCTAGAATCTGATAGGTATTTATGTAGTGTAGAAATCAAAGAATTGGGAGTCTAGAGATCCGGATTCTCCTAATTCTCCTACCACTACCGGATGTATATGATCTCAGAAAAATCACAAGTAGGCAAATGATCACTTATGAGGAAATGAAATGGCACTAGATGATCTGTTTCTTCCCTCCTCAAAAACCCTTTGTTGTAGGTTAGGGAAACATAAAGTCAAGTTTATGAAAGTGTCATTCCCGTAAAGCCATCATGATGTGAGTCAGAAGTTATATTTTTAAATCCATTCCTGATTGCCTGCCCCACCTAAATTGCTCTATAACCCCATCCATGTAGCCCTACCCTTATCCAATTTCCCTACATATTACTGAACTCCACCCTGGGGATTTTTCTTTGTGCCCGACAGCCATTTTTATTACCTTTGGTATTTCAATTCTTGCTCCTAACCTTGTAGCAAACAGAGCCTTACACTGTGTGATCATCAGGAGAATGTGCAAATAGAAGAATATGTTTCTGGTCTCTTTTCACAACTTCACTAATTATCTTTTCTCATGGAGTTTGTCTAAAATGAGCTGTGCCATTATATACTCTCTTCAATCCAACATCGAGAACTCTATGGCTCTCCTCTCTTCTCGGTATCCTCCACTGCCTTCCAGACCGCACTGCACAGGCAGACCTGAGTTTGCCAGCACTGCCCTACCGTGCTATCTCTAAAAGCCTTTCTTCCATTTCAGTTCCAATACATTCAGACAAAAGCCTCATATCACCTTCCTTCTGCTTCTCTTTTAGCATAATTTAAAACTCTGTAGTTACTATTAGGAAGTCTGAATTCTATTAAATCAATAAGGTGATGTTTATGAAATTTTTAAAATGCTGTTAAGTACAACAAACTATGAAAACATATAAGGTTATAAGCAGAGAATGTAGAGGAAGGATATCTGTTTGTGGGAGCTAGTAAAGTGATGCTGACACTGGAGAGCCTAAAATAGCCTTAGGAGCAGCTCTGAAGATCTTTTTGGTTTTGAATTTAAATCTTTATCACTGATAGTTTATTAAGGTATTCTCCAGATTCCGAGAAAGCCAATTGTTAGAGATTTTTCCCTTCTGGGTTAACATTGCCCTTCATAGTACTAGCTTGATATAACTAACCAGTACACCTCTTCGTACACACCTGGTAGGAAAAGGAAGTGCAGTGCTTATGGTTGCAGAGGCTTAATTCCTTTCTCTCATTAAGAGCCTGGCATCCTGAGTCCGAATGCATCCCAAACGAGAGGCTGTTGCCACCGTACTGGTGAGGGGCGGGGGAGGATGAAGCACAGGCCCTAACACCCTGCTCTCCTTAGGTAATATCCAGAGTGGACACAGATGGACTTCTCTGTCAGGAATAGAAAGAAAGGAGAGGAGAAAGCTAGCAACCTCAAACTTTGTCTGAAACAACTGATCATATTTCTTCTTTAGCAAGATCAGCTTGGCAACAAAGGGAGGGATGGATCGAACAGGGAAAGACAGGGAGAAGATAGGGAATCCATTAGTTGACTGCAGCAAAGTTTCAGGTTAAGAAATGTGGGTTTGAACTAGGTCAGTGAGAGTGGAGATGGAGGGGTAAGGAAGGATACAGCTGATGTTAAGTAGGTAATATGAATTGGTCTTGAAGGTTAAGTGTTAAAGAATGAGGGACAAAAGAGGAGCTGATTACTCACAGGTTTTGACTTTTGTGTTGGCGCATGGTGGATACTATTCAAGAAATTAGAGAATATGGGAGAAACAGGTTTGGGGTAAACATAATGAGTTTACCTTTACAAATGTTGAGTTTCAGATACACTTGGTAGTGAGATGTCCGGAGGCAGCGGAATACACAACCCTGAAGCATAAAGATGTGTCTGTCTCCTAGTCTGAAGGATTATATAGAATACAGAAGTATTTTATTTTTAAGTTTTTTCCCCAATCACAGGTGTTTCCTGTTACCAGCAGGTTTCCTGAAGCCTTGACAATAAAAAGGCCTTTCTACCCTTGCAGGATGCATGTCTGAGCCAATCAATACAGAGAAAAGACTTAGGTCCTGGCTGGGTAGCTTGGTTGGTTAGATCATTGTCCCGATAGGCCAAGGCTGTGGGTCTCATTCCTGGTCAGGACACATACAAGAATCAACCGATGAAAATAGTGGAACAACAAACTAATGCTTCTCACTCTCTCTCCCTTTTCTTTCCTCTCTCTCTCTAAAATCAATATATTAAAAGACTAACGGTGCCTGATTTGTTCAGCTTAATGTTTCCCAAACATTCTAGCTATAATAATAGTGCTGAGTACATGAGAAAAGCTGAGTCATATTTCCTGTAAATCAGCACAGATAGCCATCCTTCCAAATTATTTCAATCTTTGGCCACTCCCAAAAAGAGTCGAAGTGCTGAAACAATTTATAAACATCTCCTTCAGTTGAGAGCAATTCGAATACAATCATTACAAAGATTCAGAGTAAAGAAAAAGAAAAAAAAGCTGCTACTTCCTTGTACCATCCCCATACCCCAAATAATGATGCCCTGGCCTTTCATAGTGAGTCTCAGTTCTCTTAGGACTGGTTCAAATTTCATCTGTTTGTCGCTTTCAATCTCCACAATCAGAATTAATCATTTAGCTCCCCCAGGCTCCCCAGCAACAAGTTCATCCATCCACTTTAGAATTTCTAATAGTCTTATTTCTATTAAAGTTACATGCCTGGTGCTTGTCTTTGTTTTCCCTCTGTGCTCAGTATAGTGCTTTGAATATAAATACTGACTGAAGTGAATTTGTTAAAAGTTATAAAAATTGGTTCTGTCATTCTTAAAAAGAACAAGGGCCAGAACTTGATTGTGGTCAATGATAATTAAAAAGATACACTATATAAAAATAATTTTCTTTTTCAGATAAATTAAAAACTAAAAATTGATTTTCGAAGGAATTGTCGAGAGAAGTAAAAGAATTCACTTGAGGAGGATGTTGAGAGGTGATAATTTTCAAATTT